TCCTGGGGCAATCGAGGAGTTCCTGTTTAAATTCTGTGAACCCTCCCATTTGAAAACTCTGATTTCTTAGTTCCTGAGAATGTGAGGATTCAGAGTGCAACCTACAGTTACTCTGTCCCACTTGGTTCAGCTTGCTGGTTTGATTAGCCCTCCCTAAGTCTGGTACCTTTCACCTGTCCCCACCAGGTGGACCAGCTAAGGTCAGAGCTCATGCAGGAGAGGTCTGCTCGGCAGGATCTGGAGTGTGATAAAATCTCCCTGGAGAGACAGGTGAGGGGGATGGAAAGGGAGTGGATATGGCCCCAGGAGGTGGGCAGAATGAGCATGGAAGGGATCAGAAGTGGAGTACTAAACACAGAGGCAACCTGTCCCTCTCAGAACAAGGATTTGAAGAGCCGGTTGGCCAGCTTAGAAGGTTTCCAGAAGCCCAACGCCAGCGTCTCTCAGCTTGAATCCCAGAATCGGGAGTTGCAGGAGCGGCTGCAATCAGAAGAGAGGTGACACGAGCCCATCCCCCCCCCTCCCACTAGGCTTTTCTCTTCTGGGGCTGATCTGTCTTCTACCTCAGACGTGGCTAAATTTGCCTGATCTTTCAGGAAACTTTCTCTTGCTAGAGAACAGGAGGGTTGCAGAATTCTGAAATGTGAATGACCCCCAGGTCTTTCTATCTGCCCTGGATCCTCCCTAGTCCTGATCTAAGGTGGGGCTCATGACTGAAAGGAGTCCTTGGAAGCAGCAGGGAACCAAGTAGAGATTCCTTTAAAAATGATGACAGCCATAGACATCCCTGCCCTATCCTTTTAGGGAGAAGACAGTCCTCCAGTCTACCAACAGAAAACTGGAGCGGAAAGTCAAAGAGCTGTCCATCCAGATTGATGATGAGCGGCAGCATGTCAATGACCAGAAAGACCAGGTGAGATGACAATCAGGGCCACACAACCATGTGGAAAGTATTTACTTTGCATTTGCTTGAAGGCAAGGGAGGCTCCAATTCCTGGCTTCCAAACTTTGCCTTTCCTTGTATGAGGACAGAGAGACTAGACTGAAAGGACTGAATTAGAGCAGTCATTGAGCACATGTATTTTTGTGCTTAGGATTTGCTAGGCTCTCTAAGTATCATGCATGTATTAACTCATTTAGTCCCCAAGACAAACGCATGAGATCAGGCAACTTGAGATCAGGGTCACAAACATTTTGCTAGGGGCAACAATCCCTTGTTAAGATTTTTGCAGAGGAGGATCCTAGGCCATAGTGGGATGCTTTTCTAATGTGGGCACTTGGTATCCCGCCCAGCTAAGCCTGAGGGTGAAGGCTTTGAAGCGGCAGATGGATGAAGCAGAAGAGGAAATTGAGCGACTGGATGGTCTGAGGAAGAAGGCCCAGCGTGAGCTGGAGGAGCAGCATGAAATCAATGAACAGCTCCAGGCTAGGATCAAAACCCTGGAGAAGGACAACTGGTATGGGCTGCTCGTGAGGACAGAGCAGGAAGGGAATGGGCTCTCCTGCACTGGATAGGAAGGCGAAGCTCTAAGGTGGGATTTCGTAGCTATGCATTCCTGTCTGGAAGCCAGTCTGATTTTCCTTTAGTATCTCAGCCCCCATCCTGTAGCCCATGTCCCCAAATCTCTGATCAGTGAGAAGCTCTGGGTCTTGAAAGAGCTGGGAGTTTTCTTAGCATGGAAAGGGTGACTCTCTCAATCTTTCTCTCGCCCTCCCTAATCAGTATTCTTCTCTCTGATTCAGGCGCAAAGCTTCCCGCTCAGCTGCTGAGTCCACCCTCCAACATGAGGGACTAAGCTCAGATGAGGAATTCGACGGTGTTTACGACCCTAATTCCATCGCATCACTGCTTACGGAAAGCAACCTTCAGACTAGCTCCTGTTAGCAAGAGGTCCGCCGGGACCCAGAAACCAAGATCGAGGCCTATCCTGATCAGCCTTGCTCTACCCTGCCCGGCCTCAGAGTCCCCATTCCTGTTGGGGAGTGAAGAGGGACCCTGTTGTTGGGATCTGAGACAGGGAGGGATGTGAATGGTGGGGATAAAAAAGGCAACAATACTAAGCTGGTGGATGGGCTTTCCCTTACCACTGAAGTGGTGGGTATTTTAGGCCAACCGAGCCCTTCTCTTAAGTGCCGAGCCCTCCTTTTGCTCCCTCCCAGGAGCAGGATGGTCAGCATGTAGGCTGCAGGGGCTTGAGTACAATGGGAAGGAATAGAATTGCCATGTATATAAAGCTTTATTCCATTAGCCCTTCACCCTCAGGCTCAGGGAAATACCCTATGTGATTCTGCTCCCTTGACTACTGCAAACCATTTTCCTTGCACTCTGGAGCAGGGTGAAGGGAATATCATGTGATGGACACGCTGGCGTGACCCAACCTACTTCTTAGATGCACCTTTTTGCACAGCTGTGGCACCCATGTGGTAGTCCTCATCTCCCTCCATTCCTTTTTTTTCCCCTTCTCCAAGCTAGTGGGTCCAAGGGATCCTTTCTGCTTCTCTTCCCATCTTCATCATTCTTACCTTTCTTTCCCCTCAGTGCCTTAGTCAAGGCAAGGAGATAAGGATGCTCTTCTTGCTCTTACACCTGCACGTTCATACCTCTCTAAGGACCAGCTTTTCCCTACCCAGGCCTCGCCTGCTGCCCCAGTGACCGATTGAGAGAACTGGCAGCTCTCTGCCAATGAGCCCCTGGGAGAGAGACTTTGGTACGGCCATAATAAGGTGGTAGGGCCTGGTTCTGCTCAGGGTTTCCATCCTTCCCCTTTCCTTCGACTATAGATGTGTTTTGTAAGGTAGCTGCACCTGGGAACCCTGACAATGAGTTTGAAAAATAGAAGGTCACAGTGTCTGTGATCTTCCTTGAGATTTCTCTAACCAGATGTGCCCAACCTCAGTAGGGAACCAAAAGACCCTCATTATCTCAGGAGCTTGGACTTGATATAGACTTCCTGGCTGGGGCTAGAAGCTGACTCTTGGTAGAGATGGGAAGAGGCAGTGAAGGATTTACTCCTTTAGGTTTTGGGGAGAGCCAAGCCCTGGTGGGGAGGAGGTGAGGGAGATGATTCACCTCTCATTTCCTAAGCAGGCTCTGTAAGGAACCTGAGGAAAGAAGCAGGTTGTTCTCACCAATGACTTGTAATATCATGATTTTAAGAAAAAATCCTCTTCTACAAATCAGATAATCTCTTCCAATCCAATCCAGCCTTGATTTTATTTAAATTAAATATTAAAAATTATATGCCTATATTGAAATCCTTGGCCTGTCTATTCTTTTTCTGGGTTTATTTGGAGGTCCAAGTGGTATAAAGAAGCTGTTTAGGTCAAAACTGGAATTTTCGTCTCTTTACCTTATAGACTCCCCTTACAGCAGATCAGATGGACTCCAGGGAACCTGGAAGTGTTTATAGCAGCTCCTATCTTTCCTGAACAACCTCCTAGGAATAGTAAAGCCAGTGAATGGCTTCTTGGAGGATTAGAGGAGAAAGACCAGACTTTTTTTTTTTAAGATTTATTTTTTATACAAGAGCCGGGGCACAGGCCAGAGGCATGGGAGGGTGAGAGGATTCACCGGAGACAGAGTGGGGAACAAAACAGGCAGACTGACAAAATATACTGCTGAGGGGAGCAGCAGGCGAGACAGGAGAGGTGTGCTCGCCATGTGGGTTGCTTCGAGGACGGCGGGGATCGAACCGGCACTGCAGAGGCTACAGACAGCTTCACAGAGCTGCACTCAACCACCTGCGCCACCAGGGAGGCCCCAGACTATATTTTTTTAAAGATGTATTTATACAAGAACTGGGGTATAGGCCAGAGGCATGGGAGGGTGAGAGAATTCACCAGAGACAGAGCGGGGATCAGAAAAGGCAGACAGAAAACACTGCTGAGGGGAGCGGTGGGCGAGGCAGGAGAGGTCTGCCGCGCCATGGTATCTCCCTGGCCGGGAATTGAACCCACGCTATAGAGGCTGTGGATAGCTTAACAGTGCTGCACTCAACCTGCTGCGCCACCAGGGAGGCCCCAAGATCAGACTGTTTTATTACCCTGGAGCAGAGGGATATTCCTAGCATTCACCTCCTAGCTTGGAGGCCCCTATCCATTTCTACCTGGCATGGCACCCAGTTCCTTTCTGGGAGGTGGGAAGTTTTCATTACCCCTGCCCTTGTTTTTCTTGAAGAGGGGTCTAGGTCCTGGTCACCAGGGCTTACTGCCAGGTTCAGGGGTGCTGCCCACGCATGAGCGGGTCAGGTCTGCCTGCTATCCACTCTGCCTCTCACCAGTGGAGCAGACACCCAGAGCACCACTGAGCTGGGGAAGGCTGCCAAGGTCCTGTTTGGCCAGACCTCCCTTCTAGGCCTTTAATATGCTAACCTGTGCTGGGGAGCAAATACCATTGGATAAGTTGATGCTCATCTTTTTTCAAGAATACAAATTCCTTTTAAGGCAACGTGTCCCGCCTCTCCCAACCATATAAGGGCAGCTTTGGTATAATAGCTTCTGCAAAACAAGCCCCACCCAGATCCAAGCTGGCTTTGACTTTGGCCTGGGCTACCTGCCAGGAAGGGCACCTGCCAGACTGGCTTAGGCCAGTCTGAGTGAGCTTGCCCTTGCATTTCCACGGTGGAGGAAAGGTTTGCTCAGCTTCACAGAGCTTACTTACTGCCTCTATATATGGAAGGGAGAATGGGGAAGCTTTTTTTCCAACTGCTCATTATCTAAAGACAGGCAGGGTGATTTTCTCTTACCAACACTTATCTTGGAGGTAGAAAAAGGAGACAGAAAGATTGATGAGTATTGAAGTGCAAACACACTTCAGTTAAGCAGACCTAGCGAGCTCCCAAGTCCCACCTTTATGGAAATCTGAGAGCGCGGAAGGCCAGGTCCAGGACCATTTGGGCCACGCCTGCTGTGCTTTTCAGCTCGCATTGATTGGTGAACGGCGTTTTCGGGGCGCGTCCTGCATACAGCCCCGCCCCCAACGTGCCTATACAAGGGGGTGGTTCCGTGCGCGCCCGCCCTGTAGGAGCCGGACCGCAAGGAAAAGGGCTGGCGTCTGCGCTGCGATCCCTGGGGGAGGAAAATGAACGGGACGCGCAACTGGTGTACTGCGGTGGACGTGCACCCGGAGGGACAAATCGCGGTAAGAAAAAGCGGGCGCCCTGCCCCCGGGCTGGGTATACTTGGTTTCCAATTCCGCCCCTCGGGTTCTTTGCGCCGAGTTCTTTGACCTCACCTGGTGCCGCGCTCGCAGCGCTTACCTAGCTCCTGGGGCAGCTTGTCTTTCTCTTTTTCTGCCGACCCACGGAGGGCAGTGAGAGTCCTGGGTGTCGCGACATGCAGACTCTTTTGAGGCTCGAGGACTCAGGGCGTCCCCGCCCTTTGGGGGAGGACACTGCGGCTCCTGCCCGGGGCTCGACGCCGGCCAGCAGCGCGCGTTACTCCGTGTCCTGTGGACTGTACGTTGGGTCGTGGGAGACCCAGCTCCAGGGATGGGATCCCTGCGTTGCTTTTGACTGTGTCCCGACAAGAGCGATTAGGTTTTTCTGTAGGTCCTGGTAACCTCAGAGGCCCTTCGGAGATTGCCTGGTGCTTTGGGTATCAGTCACCAGACAAAGGGTAGAGAGTGAAATCCTAGAGCTTTGACTGGGGGTTTGGGGCGATAGGACTTCAGCGACGCGGAGATGGGCCTGAGACTACCTTTCACTTGGAGGGTTAGAGCTGTCCGCTTGGGGGTCACCTCTCCGCTTAGATTTCTCCTCCCCCACCCCTTGCTGTCCTCCTGCTTCCCTCCCCCTATCGGCTGGCTCACGGCTTCCTGGGACGGCTGGTTGGTTTTGCTTGTCTCCAGCCTCCAAGCCCTGGACTAGTGGATGAAGGAGATGCCAGAAACTAGGTTGAGGGCCTCCCTGGTGGCGCAAGGTGTTAAGACGCAACCTATGGAGCTATCCGCAGCCTCTGAACATGAGTTCGATCCCTGGCCAGCCAGGGAGCTACCCACATGGCGCTGCAGACCTCTCCTGACTCCCCCGCTGCTCCCCTCAGCAGTGTACTTTGGTCAGTCTGCCTGTTCTGTTCCCCACTCTGTGGCTGGTGAATCTTTTCACCCCCACACCTCTGGCCTGCACCCCAGTTCTTGTGTGCATAAATAAATCTTTAAAAAAAAAAAAAAAGGAAGAATTAGGTTGAGAAGGGAGGGGAAGTGAGTCAGCAGGGGCTTCTGGACCCAGTGAGGGTCGGAGAGAAGCTGCTAAACGATCTGCCCTGTTGCCTTCACCCCCTGGCTCCAGTGCTTCTTCACCTCCATACCCCACTAGGCCATATGTTATTCCCTCTCAAGAGGCTGAGGAGGGTAACTTGTGATCGAGTGTTTTAGGCTCTGCTGGAGAATTAATCCAGAATGTGTGTACACTGTTTTATCTAGTTCCCAGCAATTATTGAGAGTGAAGTGGGACCCAGAGTGATGGAAATTTGTAATCACTCCCTTCCCCCTCCTTCTACTTTGGATCTGATTCCTTTCCCCTCTTCCTGTCTCAGCCTGCCCTGAGGTAGAACTAACCCAGGGGCAACTGGATTATAGCTCTTCTAGTTGCTCGTTTCAAGTTTAGAGTACAGATGATCACTAAATACTGTTCACAGGACCCTCTCCATTTCTGCCCAGACTGTGAGTGTTTCTACCACACAGGTCTGTGAGTGTTTCTGCTCACCAGTCCTCCAGTTCTCTAAGTCTTCTGTAGCTTCTGCTCCTCTGCCTCTGTCTGCTGAGGAGATGGGGAAAAAATCCATCCCTTGCTGTGTCATCCCCAAGTCCTGCTCCATGCTCTTGCTCATTGTGTTGGAATGGTTGAGGCAGGGAAAGAGGTATGAGGAAAATAAAGGAGAGGGATGTTTTAGCTTCTTTTTACTTGTAGAAAAGAGATGCAGGTCTTAAGATCAAGACATTGGCAGTTTTCAGAATGAGTTGACATCCTCTTCCATCCTCTAATTTTTGGCTGCTTGTCTGGCAGGCCCCAAAGAGTCAGTAGGAAATTAGTCATTACAGAATTCAGGCTCTAACCATAGATTAGTTTGAAGCTAATCAGAGACTTCTAGAACAAGATGGACACAGACATTTCCTTTTATTTTTTCTTTGTAGGCTGGACTTGAGAATTATTTTGCTTCAAAGCTGAGAAGGAGATAGCCAATACCCAGCTATGTCTTGGAGACATTCTTGAGTTCTTAAGGACGGTTAGGAGATGGTAAACAATCAGTCAGAAGACAGGCTTTGTCCTGGATTCCACTCCTCTGAGCCACCTAGATAGAATTTATGACTCTGGATAGTCCCCAGGAAACTGTCATATATTCACTGTCATAAAGTGTCATATATTCACACTATTCAGGGCATTGTTCACAGTGAGTGAGTGAATAAATAAATACACAGATGTTCCTTTTGGTGTTAGCAGTGTAGACAGTTTAACTGGGTGGTATGTCCTAGAGGGAGCCAAGAGCTCAGACACCAGCTAGGCCATTTGCCTGAATTCATCATGTCCTTCCACAAGGACATGGAAGTATGGCTGACATGCTTTCTGGGTTGTTTTCATTGTCGGAGGTAGATGTAGCAGGTGCAGGGAGTATTTTTCAAACTGTGGACCATCACCACTGGTGGTGGGTCTGAGTCAGCATCAAAAAAGAGACACATTCCGACTATATGACATTCTAAAATAGGCAAAACAATAGAGACAGTAAAAAGATCAGTGGTTGCCAGGAATTTGGGGGGAGAGGAGAGGTGAATACATAGAGCAAGGGGGTTTTTTTTTGGGTAGTGAAAATGCTATGTATAATATTAATATGATAGATAGGTTCTTATACTTTTATCTAAACTTACAAAATATGCAGCACCATTTACTTTGTTAGAATGAACCCGAAGGTGAACTGTGGATTTTGTGTGATTATGATGTGTCAATGTAGATTCAGCATTGGTTTAAAAAAAAAAAACAACTATTATGGTGAATGTTGTTGATAATGAGGGAGGCTGTGCACATGGTGGTAGGGGGTATATGAGATATCTCTGCACATTCCTCAGTTTTGTTGTAAAACTAAAACTGCTCTAAAAATAAAGTCTTTAAAAAATAGAAAGTAATGCTTTTAGAGTATTAGGGTAGACATTTTTATATATATGTGTGTATGCATATTTATTGGATCATGATACAAAATGTGTTTTTTTAGGTCAAAAAAGTTTGTAAGTTACTGTATTAAATTATACTGGAAAGTAAAAGCACAAAAACCTCAAACATTTTAATTAAACATTTCCATTAAGTTTCTTTGGTTATAAGCAACAGAGAGTGACTTCAGCTAACCTAAGCCAAAGAAGACTTTATTAAAAGGAAGTGGGCAGCTCACGAATTTAAGGGAAAGCTTGAAATGACCAAACCTAAGGAGTCCTGGGGTAGAAGCAACTATAGAGGGTTTCTACTTCTGAGTGAATTGGCTCCAGCTATCTTAGGTCTTTTTCTCATTATGCTTAAGATTCCAGGCAAAGGATGCCATTGGTCCCTAACATTGTTTGTCCAGGGATTTTAGACAGGTATTAACAGTCACACAGATTATCCAGCAGGTTCTGGGCAGATTCTCCGGTCTTTGGGAGATTCTCCAAGCAAAACCCAAATACTTTTTACCAGTGGAGGAGAATGGAAGCTGTTGCAAAAGCAAAAGATTGTCACTACATTAGACTCTGGTTTTGAATGATCTGTGATATTCTTTCTTTTTCTCTTTCAATCATTTTTTATCAAAGGAATGTATGTGTATGGTTTTTAAAAGATCTAATAATGTCAAGTCTTTTAAAAGAAAATAACAAGCAGGTTCCCTACCTCAAGTTCCATTCCATGGGAGTAACCTTTTTTTTTATTAACCATTTTTGATTCTGTTAGCTCCTTTGTTGTCCACCTCCATGTTTCTAAACAGTATGCCTCTAGTAATTTTTTTGATGTATTAATTTATTGATTTCTTGTTGTAGAATTATAAGAAGAAGGTTTATACTTCCACCCCTTGCCAGCTCCTTTCCCTTTTCCCATCCTCCCTGTGTAAAATTTTTGACTAAACTATGATTTCTGTTAATAGCATTGTGGTTGAGAGTCGGGTTCTGGGAATTTGACCCAGTGGACTGTAATCAGGGCTTTGATGTTTGCTTTGCCTAAGATCCCTTCAGTAACTTACTTTAGCTCTTCGGTCTCAGTTTCCTCATCTGTCAAACTGGGATAATGGCACCCTTCTCATAAGGTTGTTTGAGGATTGAATAAGATAATGCATATGAGACATTGAGCAGAAGCCAGCACATGGTAAGCTATCAAATGTTAGTAATTATTTTGTTTGGCACTGACTGGTTTAGACTCTATTATTTTATTTTATTATTTTTTTATTTTTTAAAAACATTTATTTATTCATTTACACAAGAACTAGGGTACAGGCCACATGCGCGGGAGGGTGAGAGGATTCAGCAGAGACAGTGCAGGGAACAGAACAGGCAGATTGCCTGAAATACACTGCTGAGGGGAGCAGCAGGTGAGACAGGAGGGGTCTGCTGCGCCATGAGGGACCCTCGCCAGCCGGCCGGGATCGAACCGGTGCTGCAGAGGCTGTGGACAGCTTCACAGCGTGATGATCAACCACCTGCGCCACCAGGGGAGGCCCTTGACTCCATCGTTTTAGCCTCCTCTGAGACCCCTAACCAAGTAATGGAGGAAGAGTGTAGAAACTGGTTTGGTGAAGCCCTTTCTCATTATGTTGAGATGACTTTTTTTCCATCTGTTCTTTTCTTTTTCCTCTGCCAGTTTAGGGATGAGAAGGCACCTTTGGTGCACTCAGGGTAAAGACCTCGAATAGGGCCTCCCTGGTGGTGCAGGCAGTTGAGCGCAGCGCTGTGAAGCTGTCCACAGCCTCTGCAGCATGTGTTAGATCCCAGCTGGCCGGGGAGATACCCACGTGGTGAGGCAGACCTCTCCTGTCTCGCCTGCTGCTCCCCTCAGCAGTGTATTTCGTCAGTTTGCTTGTTCTGTTCCCTGCTCTGTCTCTGGTGAATCCTCTCACCCTCCCGCACATCTGACCTGTACCCGGGTTCTTGTATAAATAAATAAATCTTTAAAAAAAAAGACCTTGAATAACCTTTGC